TTATGGCTCTTCTTAATTTCCCAACATTAACATAGACCTTGTTCTGGCAACTCCTCTGACATCGCTGGAACCAGTTGTATTGGCTCTTGCCTTTCCATTGGACCATTTCAGCAATGTGGAGAGGGGGGATTTGCTGCTTGGGTAACAGCCTATCCTCCATATTACTTTACCCATGCTTCATGCTCTGGAGAGGACACTTCTCGATACAGAGCATGTTACCATAGTCTCTTGAGACTGAAGGATGATGATTTAAAGTGTGCCTGGACTGCTCTCCAGCTGTGTTTGAAGTCCTGCTGCTTTATCTGGATAAACGTATCAAGGCCCATTTACAATAAAGAGAACCGTCACAGGACATTTTGTCAAGGATTCTAAAGCCAACAATTCAGCACTTCTACTCTACTTTGATTGTATGGGTCTTTGTCAAAGTTGACACCACAACTGCAGACATCAAGGGCTACATTGTAGTAAAAGATCAGGATTTCGAAGACATAAATGTAGACATCTGCCTTTAAGAAAGCAATTAGAGTAGGGAGGTAAATCTGTTGTCTTACCCTCACCCAGAAAGACAAGGACCCACAAAATTCTTCTTTGTCCCAGAACTCATGAGATATTTCATGGGGCTTTTGACCAGACAAAAGGGCTTGCCATATTGCATCATTATCCAAATTTGTGCAAATAAATCAAATGATGCAAAATTTTACATTTACAGATGATTTTACATTGCATGGTTTCTATTAGATCAGAGGGGTTATTTGCACTTTTTTAAACCATCAAGCTGGTTTTTTGTGCCTGCGCTGTGAGTGCTTTGCTGTTCAAGAGGAAAGAATACTGTAGGACGCAGTAATGCAGAGAAAAATCCTGCAAATTACAGAGACCTTGACAAGAGAAAACAGCCCTCCTTGTTTCACTTCTGAGTCTTGTTTGAAGTGAGAAATCTCACAGGGCTTACAAATTTCTTGTCATAGTGCCTGAATGAGTTGAGAGATAGCCAAAATAGTGGGAATGAAAGAAACTTAGGGCACATTCTTTGTCTCTCTGGCTTGGAGTTGGTTTTGTAATCTGTCCTGCTGTCTATTTTTATGGCAGTGCTTCATTGCTCTATTTTCACATTGCGATTGTTGCAATTTCTACTTGATGGCTTCCTGGATTTGTTACCTAACCTCCCACTTGTTTGTAGTAAAGCAGATTAGAGCTGGGTAGGCAGGAACATGGTACAATAACACTGACGAGGCTGAGTCAGTTAAAGTCAAATGAGTGCTTGGATATGAAAATCCCCTATCAAAGTTGAATACCGATGGAATTAATAGCACAACAAGAAAGGGGATCGCAAATACTGAATATAAGTGATCTTTAATAAAGTATGGTCTCGTTCAGTGTTTACTCATAGTGCATTTTATCACATTTCAGTCATATAGCTACACATAATTAATAAAAAGAGAGGCAATGTATTTTGCTTTCGGCACCATGACAAAAGAACAGCAACAAATTAGCATGGCTGCAAAGTAGAGTTGTAGTCTCCAAGCAGTTTTGAGGTTCAAATGCAAGGTGCAAATTTAGAGGGCAACTAAGAACAGGTAATAGTTTGATAGTGAAAAGCACAGCCACAAAATTAAAAGATGCCTGCTTCTTGGGAGGAAAGTGGTAACAAATCTCGACAACATCTTAAAAAGCAGAGACATCACCTTGCCGACAAAGCTATGGTTTTTCCAGTAGCGATGTATGGAAGTGAGAGCTGGACCATGAAGAAGGCTGACCACCGAAGAATTGATGCTTTTGAATTGTGGTGCTGGAGGAGACTCTTGAGAGTCCCCTGGACTGCAAGGAGAACATACCTATCCATTTTGAAGGAAATCAACCCTGAGTGCTCACTGGAAGGACAGATCCTGAAGCTGAGGCTCCAATCCTTTGGCCACCTCATGAGAAGAGAAGACTCCCTGGAAAAGACCCTGATGTTGGGAAAGTGTGAGGGCAAGAGGAGAAGGGGATGACAGAGGACAAGATGGTTGGACAGGGTCACTGAAGCTACCAACATGAAATTGACCAAATTCCGGGAGGCAGTGGAAGACAGGAGGGCCTGGCTTGCTCTGGTCCTTGGGATCACAAAGAGTTGGACACGATTTTACAACTAAACAACAACGAAGACCTACTTAGGAGGTGGGTCATCTTGAGCTGGCCAATTTCCAATTTTGAACCACCTCCAGGACTGCACCCCCAACTAAAACTATCCAAAATGGGTGGCACAGACTGATGCCAAAAATCATCAGCCTGGTTACTCAGCATCTCTCCTGCCTTCTCTGCAGCTGTTTACATTTGTGTCAACTTCTTTCAACAACCATAGAGGTTAAATATAGTTTACAGCTTTTATTTTTGTTCAGGAGTGTAGTTCTTAATTGCCTAAGGAGATTTTCATTTTGCATAAATATATCATGGCTTTCTTCCAGGTTAGTTGGTGGATGGAAACCAGGAAGGAATTACTCTGAGTAGAGAGTCCCTTTAATCAATTAAGGCAATTAAGGGACAGAGACATGATTTTATACCCAAAAAATGAAAGCAAATATGCTTAACAATAGTATAGGCAAAAATAAATTGAAATAAACATACATTTGAAATAAATTTAAAACGGCAGAAGCAGATAAACTGACTGGAAAGACACACTGCTCTTTTTCAACATTTTTAGAAAGAGGAATATTGAGGGCCACAAAAATTGGTATGAAGCTAGATCCTAATATTGGGCTGCATAATGCCCACTCCTGCCTAATGTACAGATTTGATTCTTTAAAAAAACTTCTGGTTTATAAACATGGGATATTGTACTTCTGTACTCACAATTAAAAATCCAGGAAATTGCCCAATATTGCTGCACAATATTGTGCCTGCTTTTTTTCAACCAGCCAGTTCTTCTATGTGTATGTTGATTGACAAGGGGAAAAGGCATAGTTTTGCACAAAAACAATTTGTGAAAATATAAACTTTTGGGGAGAGGGGAGGAGTTCCTTGTTGTCTCTCATGGTAGAGACAACAAATCTTATGGAACTCATTAAGAATTTGTAATTTGGTGAGAATTCCACACATCCTTCATTTCAGCTTCCTAGGAAAACTGGAGGACAAGGGTTACCTGTGGAATTGATCTCCCTATGAGAAATGTTCTCCTCATGAATAACAGTCAATTACACAGAGAACTGATTCTATTTCTCCATTCAAACATACACTATTAAAGCCTGTATTCTTTATTACTAGATGCCACTATGCAGTTCAGAGTAGAAGATGTAGCAGTTTACAAATGGGAGAGAGAACTTGGCTGCTGTTATCCTGGAAGATCCCATATACAGTGGTGCCTCGCTAGACAGTTACCCCACATGACAGTTTTTTCGCTAGACATTGACTTTTTGCGAACGCTATAGTGATTCACAAAACAGTGATTCCTATGGGGGAATTTCGCTGGACAATGTTTGGTCCCTGCTTCGCAAACCGATTTTCACTAGACGATGATTTTGACAGCTCCCTCCACGCTCGCAAAATGGGTGCTTTCGGGACCTAAGCTTCGCAAGACAGCTATTTAAACAGCTGATCAGTGGTTCGCAAAACAGCGTTCCTATGGCTGATCTTCACTAGACAACGACGATTCTTCCCAATTGGAACACATTAAACAGGTTTCAATGCATTCCAATAGGGAAATGCTTTTCGCTAAACAGCGATTTCAGTGGAATGGATTATCATCGTCTAGCGAGGCACCACTGTACCTTCTTACCTGCTTCAGTATCCCATGACACAGCTGTTTTTTGTTTGTTTGTTTGTTTTTTGGTTGTGTGTGTGATGTTTGGCTAGGGAAACTCCAGCTCATCCTTCAAAAATGTTCCATCTAGCACAGGCATGATACAATGCATCACTTTCAAAAATTTAACACTTCCAATTTCTAAATCCAATTCAAATAGAGGATGGCTGCAATAGCCTTTTATCTAGGGTATCAGTATCTATAAAATAGGACCCACTGCTACCCTTGAATACAGTGGCACAATTGACAACTCTCTTCTCATAGGAGATGACACTTTAGGACAAGTCACCTGGAAACAATGGCAGTCCCCCACTATTTAAGACTGCTAATTAATGATACAATCCCCAAAGTAAGAACATTAAGGGGGCCACAGAACAGATAATTCTGCCCCTTTTGAAAGAGGAAACAAAAGCTTGCATTTGGACCACAATCTATTCCTTTCCATAGATTTTTTTAAAACCTGTTTATATTTTAAAATGTATGTTTTCGTCCTTTCCTTCTAAAAGAACTTCCAATTATACTAAGATTATCCTTCTAAGGAGCGCATTATGTTTCACAATAATATGCCCAATTTACTGCAACATTTTATTATTATCATATTGTAATGCTGATGGGTTTTTCCCTTATAATTTTTGTATTCACTGTATAAAAAAAGATTCTGCTACACCGTTTTTCCTTGTATTTAATATGTCACTGGCAGACATGGGGATTCCTTTTAAAAATTAATTGTGATATTTGTTAAAATATTTGTTACAAAAATGCTTATTAATTAAATATTCATCCCTTTGTATTCATGAGTTCCAGAGATCTTAATAAATATAAAGGGATTAATATCTGTCCATTTTTATTCGTCCTCCATATGAAGGCTAGCCTTCCCTCTCTTCCTATGTCCTTCCTACTCTGAATATGGGCCTGCCGATCAGCTGATTGGCGGGCCCATAGGCAGCCCGGCAGCCCCACAGCCACCCACCCCCACAGCCTCTTCCCTGCCCCCTTCCCCTCCCTGCCTTAGCCATCCACTGCCACCTGGTTCCACCCCTATCCATTGCCACCTTCGGCACCACCATCCATCACCAACCACTGTGGTGGCCTCCACAACCATGGCCTGCTGTAAAGGACACTGGTTGCCCTTTGCAAAGATGGCAGATGCAACTTCTTTTAGGGCAGGGAAGCTGCAGCCACCATCTTTGCCAAGGGCAGCCCGGATTCCCTTAAGTCAGTCCATAACCGCAGAGACCATCACCGCGAACGACGGTGATGGCAGTTGCATGGACTGCAGGCCCAGATGACAACAAGGTAGGGAAGTGATAGAGGCAATAGCATGGTCTAGAGGGGCGGGGTAAAAATCAAAATAAATAAATAAATAAATAAATAAATAAATAAATAAATAAATAAATAAATAAATAAATAAATAAATAAATAAAGGCAAAAGGGCAGGGGGCAGGTTGTGGGGGTGTTCACCTTTTTTTAGACAGCCTCTGACTGTACAAAAAAACCCCTGATGAACCAATAAATTGATTCGTGGTTCATTGGTTCATGGGGAGGAAATTCATGGTTCATCAAATCTGACAGACCACGAACCAGTACGAACCACCATTTTGAGTGATTCATCCCCATCTTTGGTCACTAGCCTTTCTTTCACTTGTATTGTCCACTTACAGGGTGGGTGGGTGAGTGAGTGTGTAAAAATAATATGCTTGTTTCATAACATCCATCAGTGCTGAGTTAGGGATGCAGATATTTTTATTTTTATTTTTATTTTTATTTTTATTTTTATTTTTATTTTTATTTTTATTTTTATTTTTATTTTTATTTTTATTTTTATTTTTATTTTTATTTTTATTTTTATTTTTATTTTTATTTTTATTTTTATTTTTATTTTTATTTTTATTTTTATTTTTATTTTTATTTTTATTTTTATTTTTATTTTTATTTTTATTATTTTATTATTTGATGATGATGATGATGATGATGATGATGATGATGATGATGATGATGATGATGATGATGATGATTTGAGGGGGTCACTCTCTTCCATTTAGCCACAAACTGCCTGTGGCAAGAAAACAACACAGAATTTAACCCACAGATCATTTTCATTGCAGTGTAATTATGAACACTACTAGATTTTATTTATTTTTTTATTTGGTAAAAGGCCTCCAACAAGCATTTGATAGAAATTGGCTTCAGTGTCCGCATCATGTTTGGTAAAATCTATTTGACCATTGCCAGTACCTATTTGCAGTAATAGTAGAAAGGATTCATCATCCATTCACTGTTGAGCAAAATGTGTTACCTGTAGCAATTTGTCATGGATAGCTTTAATAGCAGAAATCATTTCCTTTCCATTTAGTATTGCACAATATTGAATTTGTTACCTGTGTGGTCTTGAAGATAATAGCTCATCAGCCCATTAAATGGGTAAGACCCAAAGTCTAAGATTCTGCAATATAGTTTTTGCTATGGCACATTTCATTAATTTGTCACAGTAATTATGGCGTTCTGACCGCTCTTCCAAAGTGATCTTAAATGTTTGCCCAACATATGTAAATATAATGTTTTTAATCAGTTGAATTGTTTTGATAGTTTGGATCAAGGCTAATAATTTCACATGGGCACATTATGAAAACATTTACCCTTTTTAATTAGATGGTTGCACTGTGATGTTGTTATTGTTGTTGGTGTTATGTGCTGTCAAGTCGGAAACAACTTATGGTGACCCTAATAGACTTTCAAAGAAAGTGAGATATTTAATGAGTGGTTTTCCTAGTTCCACACACACCCAGTGAGTTTTCATGTTTGAGCAGGCATTCAAACTCAGCCTCCTGAGTCCTAGCCCATTGCTATACCACACTGGGTCCCAAACATTGCTGTTAAGAACTGAAATGTATTGAGAGTGAAACAATTGTTAAGAACTCACAAATGTGTGCATGGCTGTCTGGGTGTGCAACCACAGAGAAAGAGACAGGTGAGGTTGCTTCTTATTTCAGAACAGAAATTTCCAGAACAAAGGGGGTCAGCAGGAATTATGGTGGGCTCCTACATATTGGATCATCATCATAGGCATCCTTCAGTCTCGAGAGACTATGGTAACATGCTCTGTATCGAGAAGTGTCCTCTCCAGAGCGTGAAGCCTGGGTAAAGTAGTATGGAGGATAGGCTGTTACCCCAGCAGCAAATCCCCCCTCTCCACATTGCTGAAATGGTCCATTGGAAAGGCAAGAGCCAATACAACTGGTTCCAGCAACGTCACAGGAGTTGGCAGAACGACAAGAACTGCCTTCGGGACTCCCGCTCCGGATTTTGCCTCTAGGTTAACTCCTGAAGCCTTTAACATATTGGATGGGGGCAAACAAAACCAACCAACCAAGCTGTGCAGTCCTTGTAAAACATCTGAAAGCAAGACCGTGGAGGGAGCATTACCTTTACTAGACCATAAACAAATTGATAAACTAAAGCTAGCCTTTGACTGTGTACAGATCTTCATCAGGTTGGACTCCACAGAGCTGTGGATAGTGTAGAAAAAAACATAAATGGTAAACATACAAGAGAAATGGAGGTGTTGTGAGCCCTGTCTATCTCTCCATACATGAGGTTGCTTTAGAACCAAATCTGGAAAACAGTTGATGGCCTTGAACATAAAACTGCTCTCCTATCTTTCCTTGAAGCCTTCTGAAATTAGGAATGGGGAAATTAATCAGCGTTACTTTCTCCCGCATTCTAATGTTGACAAATTTGGTGAATTCTTTTTTTTTTTTTAAAGTGAATTTAAACAAAATTTTGCCCTCTCCCTGCTCCATCTATAAAGGAACAGGTCTGGAAAGCCAAAATGTTGTGACACCATATGTTTTTGTTGTGGTTACCTCCGTGAGCAGAATTTATAATGTTACATTCTGACTCTCATTCTTATCCTTATTATTAATTTCCTTTCTCTGAGGACAGAGATCCTCAAGGCAGCTAAGAACACAATTAAAACAAATATATGTTTTTTAGAGAAAGAAAACATGTTGAAATAAAGCAGAATTTTGGAATATCCAAACAGAATTACATGGTTATAGGATTAAGACACTACGTTGCAAACCCACATTTTTAAAAAGAGAACACTGATCCATTAAAAGCACTTTTCTCGACAGCCAGTCCGTTGCTAAAACCTGACTGGGAAAAAATAGGCCTTTATCTATAAGCTGAGTTTAGACAGGTTTATGAGAGGTTAGGCTGAGGTGCAAAATAATGATAAAACTATGAAGAGATTGTCCCATAGAAAAGGTGGGCAGGAAATGTCACTGATTGCTCACACCACATGTAAAGGCAGATCAGGAGAGTTTTTCACCATTATGGTTAAAGTGGTTTGCAGGCTAGCACAGGGAAGGAAGTGAAGTATGGAGCATCTTCAAGGAGCATCTTGAAGTTTGCTTGTATCCAACAGACAACATGGCAGATCCTATGATTCAGGGGTTGACTGTGGGATGCACATCCAAGCCAACCACAACTACTGTCTGCCTAAAATCCCAACACTTGGGTGGAAAAGTCAGTCTGGAAGGTTTCCTGGATATTCGTCAGCTGGAGCTGGGCTGAGTTTTAGGGCTTGGGACTTGCCCTTTCAGTCCAGGAGAGGAGGTCAGGAGTGGCACATGGCCTCCGACTCAGGTTTCTGCACTACAAAAGGTCCCTCTGTAGTGAAACATTAGAGTTAATTCTATAATAAAGTTGTGGCCCTGGCTAAAACCCATCTCTTGAGTTTTGCTGTTTATTCCAGGTTGGGTGAGCAAAGAGGTGCAGGAGCTGCCCCCTCTTCAGATTGTCATCATCATGTTTTGCCCTCATTGGTGCAGTTTTTAATACTGACTCCTGTGTCTTAAACCTAACATATTCCTGCTACTTTCTGCAATGGACAAATCTGACCATTTCACAAAGAACCTAGAAACATTCTTAAAAACTATTAGCTTCTCCCCAGTGTATCCCAGTTTCATATGTAAAAGGATCATCCTGAGAAGGGAATTTTGGTCTGAAAAAACTCTGGCTTCACATTTACCATGGAAATTCTTTCCACCCCATTTATTCACATACATATATTTAAGATTTCTCTCTCTTTGTGTGTTTGTGTGTGTGTGCGTGTGCACATGCGCACACACACACACGTGTGCGCTCATGCATGTGACCAAACTCAATATGTGTCGTTATTCCATATGTAGAGAAGATTGTATTGCACCTGCTTGGAAGGTAGCTGCTTGAGATGAGGAGCCTGTCAGGAAAAAAAGGGCTGACCCCAAGTCTCCTGAAATACTGCTTCTGTGAAGTACTGACTTGAAACACCTCACTTTTTTAGGTTACTCATTTCCCCTAATTTCTCATTTAGGATTTGTCTCTCTCAGCATTCTCATCTGTATTCAAGACAATGCGTTCCAGCCTAGCTCCCTACAATTTAATGAACTGCCAAGATTTGCTTCGTTACCTCAAAGACTGAAGTAGAAATACAAGGAAGAAGGTAATTATCATGTTCCTCAGTCACACTGTTTTTCAGTTACATTCTCCATTTTTGTATGGGGGAAAGAAAGTTAATTTGGTGCAAGAAGTAGGTGTTTTATAGCCAAAGGGAATGGAGACCTCTTATTAAGCTAACACACTTCCTCTCCAATAATAAATTAAAGCATGAGCCTATGGGCTTCTGAGGCATTGACCCACACTTTCAAGAATAAGAGATGCAAAGCATGCCAGACAAGGAAGTACCCACAGCACACGAGAAAGAGATGGTCTCTATGCTCTTTTTGTACTGCGTCTTCTTCCAACTGGAAGACAGAAACTGAATTCAAAAAGACCTTGAAAGGCTTGTGCACTGGGCTGAAAATAACAGAAAGAAATTTAGCAGGGTTTAATACAAAATTCTATGCTTGGTGTGTGTGTGTGTGGGGGGAAGGAAATACACAGTTGCAAGATGGGGGATATTGACTCAGTAATACTATGAGTCTATTTAAAGAGATGCTCGCCCCCGATGCACCCTCTTTCTGGTTCAGGCACTCACCCGCCTGCCCTCTTTCTAGTGTGATTTCTGGTCACCATTAAGGGGCCGGATAGGAATTTTTGACCATCATGATTGGCTTTTGGATGGACAGTTTTTTTGCCTATCCCACACTGGGGAAGGGTTTTTGTTGGCACTCGAATTTTTGACCTTCATCCTGTTTGGCTTTTGGATAGACAGGTTTGTTTTTTTTTTGCCTATCCCAAACTGGAGAAGGGCTTTTGTTGGCACTTAATTGGTGGTTATTCTCGGTCACACTGGTGGGTAGTGTGGAAAAACAGGTTGTCTTGGTGTTTCCCATTGGTAATTTTGGTAAGCCAACAGCACATCCGACCTCCCGGCTCTGCAGATCATGTGATTACAGGGCTGGCAGCGGGAAGATGCGCTGGGCCACTTCCGGACCAACAGTCATCAAGTAAAGATGTCTCGAGGTCTGGGGTGTTTATAAGAGGCCAGCCAGGTTCCTGCTGTCTTCAAGACCACTGGAACCTGGAGCCTGCGACTCGCCCATTGACTGATAGGGGTGTCGTGGATATCCTGCTTTCTCCTGCTTCCACACTACCGCAGGCCCCCTCATTTGATGAGGTCAGCAATATATTTAACTGGATTCAATTTAATAAAGTATGGCCCATATTTTAATCCATACCATTGTCTCGTGTCTTTATTCCAGGACCTGGGTGGGCAATAGTGTGATGTGGCTTCAAAAAAAGGCAAATGCTACCTTAAGCTGCATTATTGGCAGTGTAGTCTCTGAATCTCATGAAGTATTAGTTTCCCTCTGTTCAGCACTGTTTAGGCCTCATCTTAAGTATTGTATCCAGTTTTGGACAGCACACCTCAAGAAGGATGCAGACAAATTGGAAAAAGTTCAGAGGAGGGTGACAAGGATGATCAGGGGACTAGAAACCAAGCCCTATGAGGAAAGACCAAAAGATCTTGGCATGTTTAGCCATGAAAGAAAAAGAATGAGGGGAGACTTTTAAAAATCCCCCTCAAAACTAATAGAAGGTGGAATGATGATAGATTCAGTAAACTGAAGTGCATTCATTCTGGTTAAATTAGATTCTCTCTCTCTCTCTCTCTCTCTCTCTCTCTCTCTCTCTCCATTTCTTCTGTGAATGCCTATCAGTTCTGTCTTACCTTTGCTTATAACTAGCTTTTTAGTAGGGTTTTGCTGATATACTTAATTCACTGTTCAAAATTGAAACTTTAGCTTTGCTTTAATGTTTACTTCAATTTTAATCTAATTTTTTTATTTTATTTTAATTTTATTAACTTTCTAATTATCTTTAAACAAGCTTTCCAAGCCTCGCCATCGATAGGATATGTCACCATTTGCGGCTGATGTATATAAGAACGTAAGAAGGATACAGGAACCATGGGTTATCATGTTTTTCTCTTGGTTCATCTAATCTTGCATCATCAATATTGATCACAGCATTCCAAGACTTGAAGTATCTAGCAATACCTAGATACCCCATGAATTGATCCTCACGCCTTTTGCATGCAAAGAAGGTGCTCTCCTGTTGAATTATAGTCCCTTGCTAAAATATTTCTTCTTAAAGTGGAAGAAATGCACATAGTACAAATATGACAGAGAAAGAGAAACACCTGAGTTGAAAACTAAGATGAGAATCTAAGCTAAGTGGCTGCAGAAAGAAAGAAAGAAACAAGACTATGAGAGGCACAAAATGGGTATTTCTATACCAAATATGGATGTGTCTGTTTTCTTTTCTTTTCTTTTTCCCCTCAACCAGTATTCTACAGTTGTCCTTCTTCAGGTCATGCTTCTCTAAAGAACAGTGTGAGATGCCCATCAACTCATTGATCATTTCTGAAATCCTGGAAGAAAATGCATTCTATCACTAGAAGGATGTTGTTGGTTTTTTTGTCAGCATTCTGCTAGTACCAAGGAGCACAAAAATCAGTGTTACTTACAGATAAGCCAAAAAGGAAAAAGCTAGCGAAAATTCCGCTGCAGTCACGTCAGCTTGTCAAATAACGCTGACCCAATTCACCTATGGGAGTTACACTTCCACAAGGATTTGGATGCATGTACAGTCATCTGAAAGAAAGAAAGAAAGAAAGAAAGAAAGAAAGAAAGAAAGAAAGAAAGAAAGAAAACAGAGGAGTTTCCACAGCAGACTATGAGAGGCACAAAATATGGATGTGTCTGTTTTCTTTTCTTTTTCCCCTCAACCAGTATTCTACAGTTGTCCTTCTTCAGGTCATGCTTCTCTAAAGAACAGTGTGAGATGCCCATCAACTCATTGATCATTTCTGAAATCCTGGAAGAAAATGCATTCTATCACTAGAAGGATGTTGTTGGTTTTTTTGTCAGCATTCTGCTAGTACCAAGGAGCACAAAAATCATGCTTCTCTAAAGAACAGTGTGAGATGTCCATCAATTCATTGATCATTTCTGAAATCCTGGAAAAAATGCATTCTATCACTAGAAGGATGTTTTTTGTCAGCATTCTGTTAGTACCAAAGAGCACAAAAGTCAGTGTTACTTACAGATAAGCCAAAAAGGAAAAAGCCAGGGAAATACTACTGCACTCACATCAGCTTGTCAAATATTGCTGACCCAATTCACCCATGGGAGTTAGACTTCCACAAGGATTTGATGTATGTACAGTCATCTGAAAAAGAAAGTACATCTTCTTTGAATTCTATAGTCCTTAGCAGGTCTGAAAATTAGGTAAATACAAACTCAGATGAAGAACAGCACATGACATATTACGCCATGTCATGATTTATTTTAGAAAAATAAAGCCAAAATGGAGAAGCCATGTGTGAAAAATTAAGTACGCCTCTACTGCTTCCATAGGAATTAAGAGGCTAAGTAACAGCCAAGTGGTGCTAGCCAAATGCCATTGAGTAACTGATCATCAGCAAGTGTGACCACCCCTATAAAAGCTGAAATTTTAGCAGCTTGCTAGTCTGGAGCATTCAGGTGTGTGTTAACACAATGCCGAGAAGGAAACACATCAGCAATGATCATAGAGAAGCTATTACTGCCCATCAATCTGGGAAGGGTTATAAGGCCATTTCCAAATAATTTAAAGTCCATCATTTGACAGTGAGGAAGATTATTCACAAGTGGGAAGCATTCAGGACAGTTGCCAGTCTTCCCAAGAATGGGCATCCAAACAAATTCACCCCAAGATCAGACTGTGGAAAGCTAAGAGAATTTGGAAAAAAAACAATTGAGTTATATCTCAGATTCTACAGACCTCAATTAGCATGTTAAATGTTAGCATTTATGTCAGTATAATTAGAAAAAGACTGAACAACTATAGTTTGTTAGGAAGGGTTGCCAAGAGAAAGCCTCTTTTCTCTATAAAGAGTATGGAAGCATGACTTAGGTTTTCAAACTTGCAATCTGGACAAACCACAAGATTTCTGGAACAATGTCCTTTGGACAGGCGAGACCAAAATGGTCATAATGCACAGCACCACATTTGGCAAAAACCAAACAGAGCATATCATCATAAACATCTCATGCCAACAGTGGTGGAGGGGTGATGATTTGTGCTTGTTTTGCAGACACAGGACCTGGGCACCTTTCAGTCATTGAGGAGTCATATACATGAACTCTGTATACAAAAATATTCTAGAGACAAATATGAGTCAAATTTCTGTCTGACAGCTAAAGCTTGGTCAAAATTGGGTCATGCAACAGGGCAATGATCCTAAGCACACCAACAAATCTGCATCAGAATGGCTGAAAAAGAAAAGAATCAGGTGTTGTAATTGCCCAGTCAAAGTCCAGACCTCAACCCAATTGAAATGCTGTGATGGGACCTTAAAAGAGTTGTATATAAACAAATGCCCACAAACCTCAATGAACTGAAGCAACTTTGTAAGGAAGAGTGAGCTAAAATTCCTCCACAATGATGTGGAAGACTAATCAAGTCATATAGAAAATGATTACTTTAGATTATCGCTGCTAAATGTGGTCCTACAAACTAGTGAAGCAAAGATGAACTTAGATTTTCACACGTGGCTTCTCCATTTTGGTTTCATTTTTGAAAAATAAATCATGACACAGTGCAATATATCATGTGATGTCGTTCATCGGAAGTTGTATTTACGTAATTTTCAGATCTGCTAAGGACCAGATGGTTTTTATTATGTCCTGATAGGTTAAAACCACAGAATTCAAAGAGAGTGTACTTCCTTTTTCACATGAGAGTATCTTTATTCCTGCCTTTTTCCCTTTTTGAATTAGTAGTTTGCCTCTCCTTCTCTTTTCCATTTATATACACTACAGATTAATTATTATTCAAGTTTATTGTACATTTAAATAGCAGCTGCGGTGGAGCCTCATAAAATATTTATTAGTGAATGTAAAGTATTCGAGACCTAAAAATAAACTTCCCGTAAATGTATGGAAAAGCAGCAGCTCTTCCTTCCTTCCTTCCTTTTTTTCCTTTCTTTCTGAAGATCTTTATGGTGTGTGTATTTTTTTCAAAGAAAAAAAAATACCTCACCTAAATTTGCCAAGCCTATAAGACTCCCTCCCATGTGTTTTCATTGTTAGAAATTCAAATGAATGACTGGTTATTAGGAATCTATTAAGATACAGTTCAGAAAATTTTAACTGTGGAGACATGCAGTCATGAAATATCAACATATAATGGATGGTTTAAAATGAATTGCCTTCAGTAAAAAACTTCATTCTCTCCCTGATTGACTACAAAGAATATTAGTCAATCAATTCTCCACAGTTATTGTTCCACTTTTCTGAAATCTCTAGCAAGTTTGCATTTTATCACAAATGGCAATTTTTCTACTTTCTGGAAAAAGTATCCATGTTAGTTTATGGTCTTTTGCAGTGAAGCAAGGAAATGTCCATTAGAGCCTTAAATAGTGGCTCAAATATAGCCACAGTAGACAAATATTTATACAGTCATTGAGAGAAATGATACCTGTAGGATAAGATTGTAGTATGACAATGCTAAATTCAGGGCATACAATCTCATCAAAGTATTTTTTTTAAATTTTGCAGATCTGCAAAATGTTTTGTTATTATTTTAAAGGAGGGAGCAGAATTTCACTGTTTTGAAGAAGAATACTATTATTTAATTACTCTGCATGTGTTTTAATAAGACCTAACCTGAAAATAAGCCCTAGTATGATTTTTCAGGATGCTCGTAATATAAGTCCTACCCCATTACTAAGCCCCAGTTAAGTGAAACCCCACCCTCTGCCATTGTGCAGCAACCAGAAGATGCCATGACTGTATTTGAATAAATGTAGATTGTTGTACATGAAGAAAATAAAACATCCCTTGTGTTTTTTGGAGCAAACATTAATATAAGACCCTGTCTTATTGTCGGGGAAATATGGTAGTTACATATTTCAAAAATGAATGGATTCTAAGAATTCGCATTCCTCTCCACAAAATGTATCAAGTTGTATTTATATAATTCATTCAATTATAATATATGAGTACTATTTTATTTTATTCTGTTTTATATATATCCCACCCTTCTTTCAGAGCAGGATTCACTTTCGTTTATAATGTGGATTAAAACCAATACAGCGGGTAAAGCAGAATTTGTAGAGTTTTGCCAGATATGGTGGAATGTAATTGTATTCAATTTTACCCAGTTACATCATTCTACACATTCATGCTTTTCCTTCACATGGCTAAGATTTAGACAAAGCCTTTCAGAGACAAGTTATAAACACACTAAATACATCAGTTTTCTAAAGAATTTTTAACTTTCTAAGCTAAAGGAAGCCAAGCCAATTGACTGACATTCTGTTGATTACTGTCAGGTAGGCCCATTGACTCATTTGTTATTTGGTGAGTCTACTCCTCCGTAAATGGGCCCAATATACCTGTGACTTGCTATGCTGAAGTAAGTTGCAATTAGAGCAGGCCCATTTGAATCAGTGGGGCTTATGGAGGAGTTGACTCACCAAACTCTTGTGTGACGTACTGCGTTAAGCAACAGCATTTCAGCCATTCATTGTAACCTGGAAGATACTTAACTATGCACACATCCATATCACATTTGCAATTGAGAACATACAAAAAAGGGGGAAGGGGATTCATTCATTTTTTCAAAAGAATTAACCAAAATTTGCATTTTTTTCATATCTTGAATGGACAGGATTTTTTAAATGAATATACAACTGACAGATTTGTCCATTGAAGTATAGCATTTTCACTGACTGGCTCAGCCACCTCTCAGCCATTTTGGACTGCTTAGCATTTGAAAGTTGATTCCATTGCCCTTAGTGAATTTATTTGTTTTATCTTTGCTGTGATCATGATTGGGACATGGTGGCGCTGCAGGTTAAACCCGCAGGGTCAGAAGACCAGCAGTCGTAAGATCGAATCCACGCAATGGAGTGAGCTCCCATCACTTGTCTCAGCTCCTGCCAACCTAGCAGTTCGAAAGCATGTAAAAATGCAAGTAGATAAATAGGCACCACCTCAGTGGGAAGGTAAAACGGCGCTTCCTTGTCACGCTGGCCACGTGACCACGGAAACTGTCTACAGACAAACGCTGGCTCTATGAGTCGGAAACAGGGATGAACACCGCCACCTAGAGTCGGACATGACTGGACTAAATGTCAAGGGGAACCTTTACCTATGATCATGATGATGGCTTCCCTTTCTCATCTGTAATGTTTCCTGTTGATGAATTCATGGGGATGATGAGGATAATGATGTGATGATAAATGTGGATTTTAAAGTGCTGTTATTGCCTACATAGGTCCTGTGGATAATTAATTTTTCTTTCTCATGTTCTGCTGTTATTGCCCACTTTTGGAGTGGATGATTGTCTGTTGTCTTGTCCCAATTTGTGCAGGGAGCAGACAAGTTCCCCTTTTACAGGCGACTATCCATCAGGTGAAGGAAAGGCCAGCACTCCAGGCAACAGGAAAGGAAATGGCGAGAGGGGGAAATCCCACAAGAATCAATAAAATAAAAGGCAAAAACAGCAGGGTAATCCAGGGCACTAGTACAAGCACCCAAATATTGCACACACCTTGAATTCCACATTAGGGTAGCTATAAGTTGGATGCAACTTCACAACACATAACAAGCAAACAAGGCAACACATTCCTGCATGAATACAAGGTTTTTCTGGAAAGTTTAATCTGTGTCAGGCATTGGAAACTGCTACCTGAGCAAAAATGATTTCAAACACTTATAACATCTATGTAAGTTTTTTCCTACTGAAAGCCCTGACACACCATTTGCAAAAGTGGAAATGCCATTTGTTGTATGTGTATTCTCCTCTTCCTTGTTATGTGTACAATTTGTTTGCTGGGAGTTGTATAAATTATTATTTTTTAAAAAAATTCAGACATTTCAAGGGAATTTTCAGGAATTTGGAAGGCAGAACGCATTTCCTCCGTCACAGGTCCGTCACTAGCCAAACATAACTCTATGTATCTCAGAATCACCAGTGATTTTTTGTAATGAATGAAATGTGATTGGAGTAAATGTATTTGTTACTGTTGTGTAAAGAAAGATCACCAGCTGACTTAAATAGATGTATCTCTATGTCCATTTTTCATCAGGTTGCCAGATCTTAGGGTACCCGCTGAAGTCTCAGGGGACTGGCATTGATCTTCAGCCAAGGAGGCAAATCTTGGGCAAGAAATGCTGGATGAGGCAAAAGTGAATCTGAAGTCTTGCCATCCATTTCTGCCATTTCCCAAATGCCACCAACAGGTATTTTGCCAACTGTTTGATTGCCAGAAAAAAAAGAGCACCTCCCCTCCTTCATTTGCTTTAGATTTCCAATTTTTGATTAAGAATCATATTTGGATCAGGTTGGATTAGGTCCAAATGGATCTGACCTGAACTGAAGCTGGCCAGAATCCAGATCGCCATATGAGATTTGAATTCAAACCAAATAAAGAGACTCTTGCCCAGCTATATATAGCTTTATAGTTTGTGTCATTACTCACAAGTGACATACTCTGTTCTTGGCCCCTGAAAAAGTGCTTCTTTTAAAAGTTAAAGTTAACCTGGTGCTTTGCTGAGCCATATAAATCCCCCATGCTGGCCAAATATTATGGAATTTGTAGTTCAACACATTTGAAAGGTGTCAGTTTGAAGAAGGATGTCCTTAACACATAGTATCTGACAATCCGTGCAATACATTTTGCCACTGATTCATGTATCCCCCCCACCGTTCTTTCCATCACTGTGTAATTCCAGCAACATGTATGCTATTCACTATGCTTCAAACATGATGGATTATCTGAGGTAGAATGGGATAAAACCTGGAAAATTTCCATCAAAGTATCTCCAAAAATGTCTTTCAAAAATTACTTTAAAAATAACTGGGTTACTCGTTATACTTGCCCAGCTGATGACACCATTTTGTGTCATGCTGCTTTTGAAGTCTAATTAAATTATTTCTTTAATAGTAACTTGTTACAAGTATCTCTGTTTCTTTCCATTTGCCAGTTCTCATCTTTGCACTGCTCCCATTTATTTTTGCATGTTGGGGTGTGCACATGTACAATGGGGGAACCTATTGTGCTAAGATAAACTCCTCATCAATCTGTGATGGGCACAAAATGGGGAAGGCCCGTGACAGTTTGCCATCTCCATCCTTTCATGAGATGCTAATCAAGTCAGGATTTCTAGTACCCATACAGAGGTTTTGAACAGGAATGGTATGGTGCATATGAATGCATTTAGACTTTTATACATGTGGCCATCTTAATAATAATGACCACATCCCATCAAGTCAATTCTGACTTACGGCAACCCTCTCCAGGGTTTTCCAGGTAGAGAATACACAGAAGTGGTTTCCAATTCCCTTTTTCTGGCGGTGCCCTTGGACTGCACAGTTTGTATTCCCTTCTTCTGGAGGTGCCCTTGGACTGTCTAAGGCCACACAGTTTGACTTTTCTCCTGGAAAACATACTGGAGAATAGAACACCCAACCTCTGGCTCAGTAGCCAGATTCCTAAACCACTGAGCTATCCAGCTAGTACAATGATCTTCTTAGACCCTGAAAATGGTGAATACCAATATATTCATGTGTATGTGCATGAACAGGTTCAATGTAAATACATCTGAACATGTATAGGTCGGGAAGGAGATCAGTTGATACCAATGAATCCAATCAGCCTTCTGCATGTTTTTTTCTCTTATGTAGAATCAAGTCAGAATAGACTTATAGTGACGCTTACATGGCTTTCAAGGTAAGTGAGGTATTGAAGACATGGCTTTACTAGTTTTCCTCCGCGAGAGAGTTTCCAAGGCCAATGAACCCAGAATTGGTTCAATTCTGGGGAATTGAACCCAGAACCTCTGAGTCCTAGTCCATCACTCTGTCCACTACACATTGAATACATGTTTACTTGGATCCAAACAAACAACTGACTTGTGTGCCTGGCCTTGTTTTAGTAAATCAGCTGATTTTCTCCCCAATATACCTAGGGAAAATTTCTCCATAGAGTCCAACAGATGCATTCTGCCCAAAGACAGTGAACCCTATGATACAAAACAGAATGGACTAGACCAGACCTCCCCCACCCCACCAAAAACACCATTCCATTTATGCTTTAATCACATACAGAATGATTATAGCTTTGGCTTTGCCCTTCCTCTGCTGTTTTCTATTCCACTTGAAAGTTTTGCTTTTTTTAATCTTAAGCTGTTCATCCGCTAAAAGCATATTTATCCACCTCTGTTGTTTACTGTCATTAATAGCAATTGCACTTTGCTGCGTGTCCTTGAAATGACATAAATATTCTCTCTTTCACACACCCACATGCACAAAGTCAGCAAGGGAGTGGGGAGAAAGAAAGAAAAAAGAGCAGAAACACGAAAACATGCAAGCAGACTAGAAAAGAACATTGAGAAGACTATAATTTAACAATGCAGTACAGTGTAAAGGCAGTGATTGTGAACCTTAGAAATGCTTATGAATGTTATGCAAACTTCTAAGTGTTATGCAAACTTTCCAAGGGAATGTCTAACCTTTTTTGTTTATTCTCTTTCTCTGAATTTCACACTGAAAAAAGGAAGTATTACTTTCTGTCAAAACAGTTTGCTATTAGGAGAAAAATGCCATTAAGTAATGAATCCACAAATTAATTGTTTTGACATTTCTAGTATTTGCAAGTATTTGCTCACCATATCACAGCAAGTGTGTACATTTCCATTTCTCCCAATGTGTATATAAAATCAGATGATTTGATAAAGGGTTACCTACATAATTGCCTTCCTTCCTTCCCTTCCATAGTATTGTTTGGTGAGAAAAAAGAACATTAGTGAAAAATGGCAGTGCCTTCAAATCAAATGTCATCATAAGCTTGGGAACTACAACAAATCCCACAGAAGCTACTCTTCAAGCTACTAATTCCCAGCACACTGTTCTGAGAGAACCTAAAGAGCAGTGGGAATATTTTTCAGACCAAGTACAATATTGTGAGGGACCTTCCTGGGGGCACATACAGATGCTCTGGGACATTGCTTCCCTATCCCCTGTCAACTAGCATGGAGTGAGAAGGTGTACCAGCAATATATAAGGGAGGTGGTTGGAGAGCAAACTAGATATAGTTGGCTTTGCCTCATGTGGTGTCATCTTTTGCCCAACAGGAATCAGCCACCAATGCCAGTGCAAATTGATGCTGTTGTCGGAAGTGGACAAGACCAAAGCCTACTGTGACCGCGAGCTGAAGTGATCATTAAAACAAACAAAACAACCAAAAACATATTTGCCAATTATATCTTTTTATATCCAGATCAGGGAAGAACCACAACCGGTCAGGAGGGAAAGGGAGATTTAGACTACAGGGACTTACAGCTGAACTTTGCTTGAACAACTTCTTCTTCTTCTTCTTCTTCTTCTTCTTCTTCTTCTTCTTCTTCTTCTTCTTCTTCTTCTTCTTCTTCTTCTTCTTCTTCCTCTTCTTCTTCTTCTTCTTCTTCTCCTACTCCTTCTTCTTCTTCTCTTCTCCTTCTCCTTCTCCTTCTTCTCCTACTCCTCCTTCTTCTTTGAGCATCAGCTCCGTATGGATGCATTGGTGGCAGAAAAGAATTGCTTCCTCATTGCCATCACCGCCACAGAGCAGGCTTTCCAATGAGCTCTAGCCAATCAGATCTGCTCAGGGCTTTCCACCATTATTGCTCCACTCTCTGACAAATTCATTTTATCATCCCCAGCTCTCTAGTAAACCAAGGGGCTAGTTTGATTGCATTCTGTGGGAGTGGACACTTAGGAGTGATTGTGTCAATAGCCCTGAAGACCTCTGGATTAGACATGGGGACAAATAACAAAATGGATCATGATATTTGTGAAAAATCGCTGATTCTTTAAATATTCATCATGTTCATCAGTTCCAGAGGGGATGAATACAAAGGGATGAATATTTCCCCATTTTTATTCCTCCCCCATATGAAGAGAGGGAAGGCTAGAAAAATATATTCGTGCTTCTTCAGTTCATGGGGAGGATATTCTTGCTTTCTGCTTCATCAACTTTGACAGATCACAAAGCACAACAACTTGCCAAAATGGCGAGTCGTCCCCATCTCTACTCTGGATTCCAGACCTCCACCAAGGACTCAACAAAACCATTTTTCAAGACAACTGGAAACTTGCCAATAGGTTTAAAGAAACCATTCGTATCTGTCGTTGTCCTAGGATGATCCATTTTAATTTGTCTCTCTACCTTTCCAGAAGGTCAGAGTTCCATTAAACCTAAAGGCTACCAGGTAGTGATCTATCCATGACAAGGGAACTACAGACAGTTCTTCTACATCCAGTCATCACCATCCTGTCCAGTACAAAAAACCAGATCAAGAATGTGCCCTGCAACATGAGTGAGGCCAGGTACCACTTGGGATAACTCCATGGTCATCTTGGTAGATAAGAAATCCTGAGATGCTCTTGATAAACTGGTCTCTGCACAGGTTGAGGCAACTGCAACCCTATAGGTGAGACCAAATCAAATAACCTCAATAGCTTTGATGGCAAAACTCTTGGGGTGAAGATGTTGTTGCTAAATGCTTGGCTTGGGTTATTGAGACCTGGTTGGATGAAGCTGAGGGAATAAGTCTTTCTTGGTACTGTCCAACTGGGTTCTCTGTGCAGCAGCAGGCCAGACCTGGGAGGGGGGATAGGGAGAACAAGTTGCAATTGTCTACCAAGATTCAGTCAACCTTGCCAGGTTCCCTCTCCCACAGACGTCTGGGTTTGAGTGCATGTCCCTGACAGCAGGTGCCTGGGACAGGACTGGGATTCTGTTGATGTATCACCTGCCCTGCAGCATGACAGTCTCCCTGATTGAGCTGACTTGTTAGCATGTTCTTCCAAGATCAAATCCTGGATATTAGTGGTCTTACCTTTCATGGACCTGGCATTTAGCAAGAGGTTTGCCATCAAGCTATCCAGACTATTTGAGACAGGGTTTTTTTGGGGAGGTTGGTGGGAGGGGGCAAGCAGAATGTTATGTTCTGCCTTCTTCCCAAGATGATGTTTCCCAATTCAGTATCTCCCCCTGGCCTCTGTAATTGCAATGGCTCTTCCCTGCCAGGAAAGGTCTGGTTCTGAGGAGAAGTCAAGGTCCAATGCGCTAAAGTTCTTCAACGAAGTGGAGATGTACAGCAGTGGATTGGAGATTAAAAAATAAACAGGTATAAAAATAAAACAAAAAACAAAAAACAAAAAAGAGAGACCAAAAAAACCAAAAAGCATGTCAAAAAACAAAAAAGAGAGACCAAAAAAACAAAAAACATGTTGGCACCTTAAATACTAACTGTTAGATTTTAATCTGAAGTCCACTTCCTCAGACATAATAGACATATATAACATGGCAAATATTTCTAATGGCATAAATATACAGAGATTGTGGTTGGTAGGAAAGTCAATGGGTATTTAACAGTGAGGTGATATTCTCTTTGATATGCAGATATGGCAACAGATGTTTTCCTGACCTAGATACTTTTCTACCTTGGCAGATGACACACAGGACCTCTTTTCTCCTCCAATCAAGAATGCTGAAGGGTATCTGTGAATCTCCATTACCCAGGACCCAATCTATATGCAAATCACCTCACACTGTGTATAACAAGCGTGAGGTGATGGGTGTGAAGGGTGATGGCCAAAGATCTGGAGGCTGTACTCATATGTCCTCAGACCACTTCCCTCCCATACCTGTTTGTTTAAAACAAAACACTCAAAAAGTCCCTTTTTGCCATGGGGCCGGGTGGAATTTTAAACAGAATTGCAGTTCCTCTTCCTTGGGGCATGGAGAAGAATGACCAGGTGGATTTTCAGGTGACGTTCCCCCCACCCCTGCTGCCTTCTTTCGGCCAACCTTTCAAACTGATCTGGAAAAGGATCCAAAGAGTTGTTTAAGAAAAAACAGAAGATGGAAGTGAATGTTCAACCTATTCTTACATCCTTACATGAGGTCCAGTCCAAAATACATCTTCGTTTGGAGTCACTGCATTTGTTTCTTCCAGCTAATGCAAACTTTCCTTCCTAGAGCCAAATGCCTCCCTGCACAAAACTACAGTTAGGAAATAAGCTACTACTTGAAATCCTGAAGGAGTTCGTCTCTCCCCCTCCTTTCTTCACCCAGGTTTCACAAGTTAATATATGTTTCCCTTGTGGAGGTTTTCATGGCCACACTTCATTCCTGAGTAGGGCTATCCAACAGTTAGAAACCCCTGAAAAATTGGGTTTATAATGAAAATGCTGACAGCTGGCTCCTAACTATAGCAAGGCTGCCCAATGCTCCTATAACACAGTTGTCTCTAAATGCTCTAATTCTAATGAAAAGTGGCTGCATTGTGACTCCACATCTATATACCAAGCTGCATCATCACTCTTGTTTATGGGCTTCATTATAGTAAGGAAAATGCTTGCTTCCCTGGAGACCCAACGTGGAGAGTGTTGTTCAGAGAACTCTGTTCCTCCATAGCCTGCATGTAAGAGGTTCAAAAAAATGCTACTAACAACAGGAATGAATGAACAACAGTATCATGAAAAATCAGAGGTCTATATCAAAGCAATGGCTTTTTATCAGGATGAAAAAGTAGAAATTTCATCGTGATGGCCTAAGAGTCTAGAGACCAGGGTTCGAATCTCTACTTGGCCATGGAAACTCAATAGGGAAATGGAACTGGTAAAACCATTCCTTAAATATATCACTTACCTTGAAAGCCCTACTAGGGTCACTGTACGTTGGTTCTGACTTGATGGTACAGAACACACAACAACAACAGAGACTAGAAATATATATATTTGGATTTTAGCTTCCAGGATCCCCTCCCCTCCCTATTTCCTTCCAACTTCGAATCTCAGGAAAAGTGGGACAGAAGAGCAATAATGAACAAACAAATCTTCTCCCTGATATTCAGGAGGAGGGGTGCCCACAAGCTGGGGTGGTCAAATCCCCTCCTGCTTGCTAAGGTCTAAACCACAACTTCATTTTGAACCCAAAGCTTCCCGTTGCATCCTTGCATTTTTATGCCAAGAAAGCTGAGGGGGAAAAAATCTCAGTATAAAAAAAGGCAAAAATGAGTTTTGCGTCCTTTTTTTCTGTCACGGACAAAGTCAATGATCAGAAAGAAATAACCATTTTCTTTTCCAATGGTTCTAGAAAAAGAAAAAAGAGAGAAAAAGTCCAAGGGAGAAGACTGACAGCATCTTAAGCAGCAGCAGAAAGGGAAAAACATGGCTGTAATATTGATAGGAGTGATTTTCAAAGTAATGAAGAAGGTTATGTGATTAAGTTTCCTGAAGCATACCGTGCCAATCGTGTGCACTTACGGTATATCCTCAACCTTCTGAGTCACAGAAGAGCCTCATTCTGTTTCCAGATGAAGGATCAATAGGATTAGAGGATTTGCAATCAGGACTTACCTATGTCTTCTTGTTAAGCACGGAGGGGGCTCTTGAGCCACCATTAACGATGTCAACTCAAAAGTTATAACTTGATAGTGAACTTAATCACTTATTTTTTCCCATATCAAGATGTTATTGATAACAGAACAGATACAGGTTCCAAGTTTAGATTTCTAAATCAAAATTTGAAAGTTGACATATGTGTGGAATCTGTTTGGTGTGTTACATCTGCTTCTGTGGCTATATGCTTAGAAAATTGCTTTGTGGAGTGGGAATTATAAGTTCCGATCTTGCTATTTCTATTTTTGAGAAAGGTTTGTAGCTTGATGGTAAAATGCATCTATCCAGAAATGCACACATATATTCCACAGATAAAAGAAATGCTGAGCAGATAGAAGAAATTTATCTTAATTTCATATGATGAAACCACATAAAAATCACAAATTAATTTAAAAAATTAAAAATTAAAATATATATTAACAATTGGACATATCTGGCCATGTTCATTCTGTTGATGCTGTTAAGTCATCTCTGACTTATTGTAGTCCTATAAATCTACAAAATATCCTGCTTTCAACAGCCCTACTCAGCTCATGAAAACCCGAGCCTGTGGTTTCCTTAATCCATCTCATACAATATTGGGTCTTCCTCTTTTCCTAACTTTAGCTTTTACCAAAAATATTCTCTTTTCCAAAGAATCTTGTCTTCTCATTCCTAACCCAAAGTATGGCAGCCTCCCTTTTATAATTTTTGATTTCATAGAAACCTTGGGTTTCATTTCATTAAGAACCTGCATGATTTTGGTTCTAGTGATACAGAGTATGAATCAATTGTTTTTACCTGTCCA